GTTGTTTTCTGGTGTTTGGATATGAAAAAAAGAATGCTTGTACCGGTGCCAAACCGGTAATAAACTGTTTTTGATAAGTTAATCGTTCCTGACTTATGAAAAACTATTTATTACCAGTTTACAATTTTAACCTTGTTTATTTAGCTCCGATTTGATACCACATAAGTTAATAAACACTTTTATAAAAAAAAAACATAAGTTGTTTTAAATAAGCAATCCCAAACACCCCCTTACTAAACGCTAATTGGGTAAACGCTTACTAGATCACTTATTTTATTGGATGAACATGATATCATGGACGAACTCAATGTAGAGTGTATGGTGGCCCGTGCCAACATATTGTTCATCTGTTATAATGTAAAAAATTCTACGGTCCTGAAAAGTCACACTGTATATATATTTTGAAATTACAATAAGAAAACATGTTTTTCTTGGTAGAGTTGGTTTGCAAGGCTTTTCTTCCACCTTAGACCCGAGTTTGAATCATGTTAGTGTCGCTTTTTAGTTTCTAACATTTAATTTCAGATCTATTATGTTTCTATTTTTTTTCCAATAAAAGATTTGAACACAGGTCCTCATATTTGAAAAATAATGAACCAATCAACAGACCAATGATATTCTTATGAAAAAATATATCCATATATCTGTTTCTTATAGTCAAACGATGAGACCTTTTGAAAAAAGAATTATGGGTCCATCCCTGCATGACACAGACCGAGAATTTTACCCGGTAAACGACCCGTAAAGCTAATTAGAAGTAAACGACACCATAAAAACCAAAGCAAGTAGGAAAAAAAACAACCACCCCGAATCTATTTTATGACCAAGGTAAATTATGTGCCAAATTACTAACCCTACCCTCTATCAGTTCCCACCCCTATTCCAATGATGCTCTAAAAACGCCTCTTCTAATTAATCCCAAACAATAATCAGTTTGGCGTTTTGATTGTAGATCAAGTACAATTAATTATTCTCTTATGTACGATTATTTATTATCAAAAAAACATTGATAACAAATGGTAGGGGAATAGAATTTGTACTTTGTAATAAAGAGGGTTTGGCATGAAAATGGAAATGTAGGTTGTATTGTTGTTTTCTTATGTACCAAAAAATCTAGTGTTGAAAAGCAAGGATGCCATGTGAATTTGATGGGTGAACATCACATACAAAGCATCTTCCAACAATAACTATCTTAAATAAAGTTAAATGTACCGACAACATATTAATCATAGAGTTTTGTTGCGTTATGATTTATGCAGGGTCGGTCCAATGGTTTTGAATGTCTTGGGTGGAGAGTCAAAAAGATGTTCATACTTCAATGAACCAAGAACTCAAGAAGATACGAATTCTTAAGGGGTTTTGGAATCTAGTGAAGCTGTGCGGCTTGTCTTCATGTCGCTTATTATTGAAAAAAAAAAGTTACAATGGGAGACATTAAACCAAAACACCGAACAACAAAACAAATATAAGATTACCTGTTCGTCTAAAACGATGTCGTTATTTACTTCATGAAGCAAAATGTCCAATTAATCTATCGTAGTCAACGTTTGCTAAAACCTTGTTTTTTTCCTTTCTTTTTCTATTTTGAGCCTTGGAAGGTTGTGATCTAGGAAACGTATTTGATCAAACCAAATTGTTCAAACTTCCAATAACCAAACAGGCAAACAATCACTAAATATATGGGTGACAAAAATGACCCAACCCGTAAACCCAACTCCAACCTAACTCAGAATTAGCAGGTTGGGTTGAGATTTTCATCCTATTAAAAAAAATGGGTCAATCCGTCTTATAATACTCGTGTTCTGTTAACTCGTACAATTGGGTTAAGTGAACTCTGGGTAGATAACCAACTTGTACCTTGAACTAGTTTCGTAACAAAAGTTGAGCTTATACCTAGTAGGGTATAAAGTTGAGAATTTAGACTTGAAGAGTCAAAACCACCAAATAGTAAACTATATATATATATATATATAGAGAGAGAGAGAGAGAGAGAGAGAGAGAGAGAGAGAAAAGAAATGATATATATATAGGGTTGGGTTCACGTGAGACCAAAGGTTTTTCGTGAGACCCGTAAGATCAATTTATGTTCATTGATCAACTTTATAAGCTAATGATCTAAAGTTGCACGGTGACAATTTTGTGATTATTGAGAAATCTCGTGGCAATTTTGTGATTATGAATGTTCAGATTGTAGATCTAACCCAACGGTTGATAATTGGTCTTACGGGTCTCATAAAAAACCCTTGGTCTCACATGATTCCAAGTCTATATATATATATATATATATATATATATATGTATGTACACACAAACATACATACATATATCATGAGAGTAAATCTCATGTAATGGTCTTCTTCAAATTTTTAAGATCACCGCCTCAATTTTATACTCTAAAGTTTATACTCTCACTCTAAAAGCTACCGAATATATAATTGTTACCTCAATTCGCTTAGTAAATTGTCTTCTTCATTTTTTTAAGATCACCGCCTCAACTTTTAAGAGTGATTAAAATGATCATGACGTCCTCAATTATATATAGTCCATAAAAGTGGACTTGATAAGATACCGGTCAATTAGAGGGCATATGGATCGTTCCTAAGAACCGTTATCAGAAAATAAATTGTGGTCGTGGTTAAATCCACGGAGAGGATTGTTGTGTTGTGCTCGCACCTCTTTCCTCACTCATGCCCGAACAGACTGATCATCATTGGGAACAATGCGTCCTCATGATGCGGTTTGGTCTTCGGACCCTTGACATGCTTTCGGGGCATTTTAACTTTCTTTTGGATTATCACTTAACGTTATAAATTGTTTTTGAACTTGTTATCTCATATTCATGGTTTAGTTATTATTATTTGTTCACTGAGCATTAAGCTCAACCGAGATTTTCTTTGTCCTCGACAGGTACATGACTTATCAGAGATTTTGAGATGAACTACGGAGATGACAATGTTGAAGATAACCCATTAGGACATACCTTTGTTAAACTTTGGATGATTAATGTAGATATACTTGCATTTTGGGACTGTATTTTGATACATGTTATTATCTCCGTTTATAGTTATGTAATTATATTATGGTAAATTATTAACTGCTCTGTTTTATATAATGCGTTGATTTTTCTTAAACCAATTGTGGCATCTCCCATTTAACCACGCATGACGGGGGAATTACAAGCCTAACCCATTTAAATAAATGGGTTTGGTTGAATTTTTCGACATGTTTTCAACTTGTTTTCAACCCATTAAAAATATTATATAATTATATTTTAATCTTAATATTATAATCCAATTTTTAATTTTGTTTTGTTCTTAATTAAAAATCTTATCGTCACGAGATGAAAGTCCACACCTTCATTACTCTTAATCATCATGAAACCCTAAGAAAACCTTTTAATCCATTACTCTATTATCGCCTCCAAAGTCCAATCCTACTCTTCAAGAGGCTAGTAATATCGAGAGTGAACTTGGGGTTGGTGAAAGTGGAAGTCGAGTTATTTAGAATTTAAAAAATTTCAATTTATTTTGAACAATATATTTATTGTGGTTGTGTTTTATTCAAACATTAAACAATTTGTTTGCATTTGTGATTGCGTTGTGTTTATTCAAAAAAATTAAATAGTCTAGTCCTTTTTTATTTAAAATTTTAAAATGAAATGGGTCAACCCTGGTTCAACCCATTTATTTAACATGTTGGGTTAACAAAATTATAAACAAGTCAATTCATTGTCAACCCATGTAAGTAACAGATTGGGTTAGTCAACCAATTTAATTAAATGGGTTGGGTTGGGTTGAGTTGAAATTTTCAACCTATTTAATAAATAGGTTGAACCCAAACTCAACCCAACCTGACTCATTGCCACCCCTAACTAAATATGGAATTACACATATCAAATTCAATAATCAAGAATTCAAGATTCACCAAATATGAATTATTGAGATTACGGATTATCTAATGGCTAAAACAAATCAGATTCAAGAATAAATTCACCAAATATGCAAAATTATAAATCATCAAATATGCAAAATTCAAGAAAAGACAAGATTTAAGAGGAGAATTAGAAGGAAAACACAGGAGTGGCCGAGTCCTTTGAATCGAAGTGAATCATTGACAAATCACATCCCAAAACCATTTTGATTTTCATTCGTTTCTGAATTCTGACTTTCTGTATTGGTTTTCTGTTTTCACCACTCACCACCACGAAACCATTGATAGATTGAGTTGCGAAATCTACGAGAAATTTTTTTGTTTATAGAATTTTGATCTACGAGCATAAAGTCAAAACCCTAAAACTTGAAACTTACTCAACATAATTGATGGTGGATTCAGATAATGAATTTGGCGGAGGTCACAAAGGCGATCAATGGAGACGACTTGTGTTTGATTATTGATTTATTGGTCTATTCGGTTTCAAGATTTTGAGGTAGAGTTGTGGAGTGTCCAGCGTCGTAGGTCAGTAGACAGTAGGTATCGATCGAACGGGAAGACTGATAAAAGATAATATAGAGAACGGGCTTGGACTAATGCCTCTTGGGCTGTGGATGCCCTAGGCAAAGGCCCATATCGCCCATGCTCAGTTTATGAATGTTTAAACCTTCAGATACATATATATATTGGTATTTTTTTTATGTTGTTACTAAGGTTGGTAAAAGCCTTTAGGGCAAAGCACTGTTGGCTCCGTGGTGTTAAGCTTACCCAACATGGCAAGTGTTCAATTAATGAGAGTTACAGTTTGAAAGTCAAATTCATTTCAGATTAAGCTTTTTATGGGCAATGCCTATTAAACCAGCCATCTAACAAGCCATTGGATATCCGATTTGTCTTTTACATGATGTTTTTGGAATGTGACAGTGTGGGCCAGTTTGGGAATTGCCGTTAAAAACCCTTGCTCAAAATATTACTAGAATATGGTTTGTTACACAAGTTTTTGAGCTATCATATCTTGTGAAAATAATTCTGAAAAAACCAACCACCATATAGAATTTCCATACAAACTGCATAAAGATCTTATTCGTTTATGTACATGAGTTAACATCAAATCCAAACACACAAACATGAGTCATATGAACCAATAATCACCATATGCATATTTATATGCAAGTTTCACACCAGAAATCTCAATATATTTATAAAATACTATACAAAACTATCCTTTATACGTATTTCTAAGTATACGCAAAACACAAGTCATTTTCTAATAGGGATACTTTGGTCATTTAATACATCATCCTCCCCCCCCCCCTTTTTTTTCCCCTTAGAAGCACGTGCCTTGCACATGCATGGGCATACGTATACGAGTTTATATAGTTGTTTGAAAACATATTGGCTTCTTGGTGATATTTTTATAACAATGACTGATACAACAACCAGTATTAAAGTAATTAAGACAGATATGATACATATGGAGGCCACCATCTCCATGTACTTAGAAGCATATATCCAAGAGGCAACAGCAACACATGCCAGCACAACTGCCATCAAACAGATCTAAGTTCATACATATATACACACATATACAGACACACACACACACACACACACACACACATATATATATATATATAAAGAGAGAGAGAGAGAGAGAGAGAGAGAGATAAACAGGTATTGTATTTGTTATGGAATGAGTAGTGGTTTGTATGAAGAGGGAGAGAAAGAAAGGGAGTACCATCCCCTCCAGAACCCATCACCTCTGGACTGAGTTCCATGAGGAGGAGGGTTCTGGCCATCTTTCACCGGAGAACCAACAGCTGGTGGTGGAACTGGATGTGGAGCCACATAATCCCTATCGGTGCCACCCTCTACCTGAGCTATCGGATAATCAAGAACTGGTGCAACAAGAAACAGATCATTACTACCATTCAAACACTGAAAAAAACATCGGAACCAAGAGATCGGATGTTTGAATCTCACAGAAAACATAGATGAAGGGGGTATATACCTTGAGAAGGCTGATTTTGGCCATAATTACTCATTTTCAAAGCAAAATGAGCTTCTCAATATCAATTATTTGCTACTTGTATGATGTGCATATATAAACCATAATCATAATTCATAACAAGATTAGCTAGGTGGAGTGGTTATGATGGAGTAGTTAGCATGCAGTCAGTACAACTATATATGCATAAGGAACAATCTGAAAGTCAAAGAATATCCAAAACTGTAAGCTGGTCAACAATCTTGACTTTTGACCATATATTGTATCATATCATCGAACATTTCAATGGTGAGACCTAATGAAAGCCCAAGAACATGGTACTTCCCATAAACCATGCTTGGCTGCATTACAAGTTGTACCATAATGCAAAAAGCATAATTTTTACAAGTCGCGATACATTGAGGGTACAAGTCAAAGCTGCAGACGGATATGGATTTTGACAGCAATGTACAACTACAGCGGCAGAAAATGAGGATCGCAATACATTCTTTGTAAACTAAAGCAATTAAAACCTACTTTAGAACAAACTTACCACATTAAAATCAGAAACCTGTGTGAAATCTTGTATATATTTCCAAAAACAGGCTTCAAGCTGTCAAGAACTCAGAACTCTGGAGATATTCGGGGTCCTCAGACACCAACCTGCAGCTCGTTTAGAAGTGTATCAGCATCTTCATCATCATAATCTTCGCTTTCTTTAACTTTTGGCAGTTCATTTCCAGCATTTGAATCTCTCAGAAAAGGTAATTTTGACATTAAAGATTCATCTTCAAGAACACCCGCTTCCTTCAACATTCCAAAAAACGCCTCCTTGCTCGGTTCATCGTTTTCTTGCTCACAAATCTTGTAAAATGATATAATATTAACTGGTTTTGGTTTCCAAAAGCTTGATTCTTCATGTGAAAGTGCTTTCTCAAAGCAAGACAATGCATCAGGAATCCTCTTGTGCTTAATATGACTTTCAGCAAGGATTTCCCATGTACTAGAATTTGCCTTTCCATTTTCCAACATTTCTTTGAAAAAAGATTCGGTTTTTTCTGAATGCCCTTTTCGAACATACCAACCTAATAATCGATTCCCAATTCTGGCGTCGTAAGTTGTCTTGACTGAAAGCCACTCCTCATAAAGCATCTCCGATTCTTCAATTTCATCCATCCTGATAAAAGCCGAAATAACTGCATGATAACCCATGTTCGGTATATATGGGAAGACCGTTTTATAAGTTCCCCAAATCCTTTGAACTTCTTCCTTTCTGCCGATGCTACCATAGTGACTCAAAAGATAATGATAAGGAATGCGATAACGCCCAGTGATCTTGCTTTCAATCTTTTTAAGACAATCTTCGCCTTTTTCAAGCTCTCCAAGCTTAATATACACCGTAGCTAGAGTACTATAAGTAGTCCAGTTGGGTTTAACTGACACATCAAGTTTCATCTTTTCAAACACTTCTTCCACCTTTTCAACAGATCCTTGAGACCCACGAGAAGTTATCCAGATACTGTACGAATATAAATCTAAGTCTATGTTGTTTTGCATCATCTCTGAAATAAAGGCTTCAACTTTTTCATGATCTTTAAGGTTCATGTAGAGAGTCATCATAACATTATATGGAAGTGCATGGCTAGCATACTCTTTCTCTTTCATTTCCACTAACAAAGACTCGGCTTTTTCTTTCATTCTAGCATGCACATAGGCATTCAAGAGGGCTCCATATACACGGTTGTCGATTAGATCATCTGGTAGGTTTTTAAAGTAATCTTCGGCACCTGAAATACCTTCTACTTTGGATACTAAATCTAATTGAATTGCAGCATCACTCGGGGCCATGATAAATCTCTCTGGTTTGTTCTTCATCCACTCGTAAACCTGCAAGAAAGCACAAGAAGTTCACTCATGATAGGAAATTTTTGTTAACAATTCTAACTTTCTAAGGTAAAGTACATGTTAATTGTGGATTGCCAAATGATGGAAAATTCAAAATCAAGATGTTGATGTTCCATACTTTATTATACACCACATTTAACATCAATGGCGTCTGTTTCTTCGAATAAACTACAGTCAGTAACACATAAGAAAGCAACGATTTCGGGTGGTTCATCAGAAATGACATAGGAGAGCTACAATAAGATAATTTAAATACTAATATTCTTGCAGAAGTCTACAAAGAATACCAACTGTTGCAACACTTGCTATAGAACATTTTTAGTCCACTTGTTTTTCGAAGTTCATCAAATTGACACAGATAATTTTTCTTGTTTAACATGGAAATTCCATCATTTTAGTAGATTTTTCAGATTCTTTAACGTAGTTATCAAATTGTAACTTGAAACGCAACAAGATTGATCAATTTAACAATTAGAAACGAACTCATTTGACCCTCGAAAGTCAAATTATGGGAATTTGCCAATTTGGGAACATAGGAAGTACCAAATCCAACATTAAAATAACTAAACTATTTCAACCCATGCTTCATGGTGCTATAAATGACCAAACTAATGGTTAATTCCAGAACAATGAAACCAAAAAAAAAAACACACAATTTTTAGGAGGTAATCACAATAGAATTCAAGAAACCCATGAAGTAAATTGATAGATAAACACCGAATACCTCAAGAGCAAGCTTGAAACGACCATATTTCCTCAATTCCTTCACAAGCCTACAAAGCTCCCACTTGGTAACAGTTCTGCCTTCATTCTCCCACTGATTCAACACACTAGTAGACCCCTTTTCACGATTACCCATCATCGAAATCCTCTTGTAAATAGCTTTCCATGTCACCGGTGTTCGTGACTTCTTCTCATAGTCCACTGTACCATAGCTGTAGCCCTGTGAAAAAGATGATGATGAAGAGCTATTTCTTATGATGATGGGCTTGAATTGACCCCTTTTTAGGGGTGAATTGCGAAACCCAGATGGGAAATTGATAAAATTAGAGAGGGAAGATGAGGAGGATTGGAGAGAAATGGTTTGCGGGTGTGGTGGAGATTGGGAAATTACTGAGTGGAGTAACATTTGTTTGTCTTGATTCCCTTTCAGGGTTTATTAGGGTTTTAGAAAATGCTTCAAAATCCTGAAGCTTTTGATGAATCAGTGGGAGACGCACAAGGGTTATCCTCGCGTCGATGCATTCGTCCCTTCGACAAGAAACAATGGGGCAGGG